TACCCTTAATTTTAAAACATAAATGAGTATGAAAATAACCCGACACAGTAAACGCTCTTTAAAAAAATTAATGAATTTCTTGATGCTTTGAAGATTTTTGAATTCGTTGTCCTAGTGTTAATTATAAGCCTTCCCTATGCTGACGATGTATTCATTCTGACCACATCTTTATCCGCCTTTCAGAAACATATTGACCTTTTAAAAATTATTGCTCTCAATGGAACCTGGCAGTAAATTTTAAAGAAATCAAAATCTTTTTCGCGGAGCTGCAGGTTCTTTGGCTCTAACACCTCACCTCAAAAAAAAATAAAATAAAATAAAAATTAAAAAAAATAAAATTATTCGGCAAAATTTGCAAATCAATTCGGTCTGGTCGAACCGCTCTCAAACCCTTCTATTAATATTAAATTATTTTAAATTCTTACTTTAAATTATTAAATACTTAATATTAAATTTTAAGGTTTTTAAGGGTCGACATCACAAGTTTGGGGGATATCAGCGGTTCGATTTAGTTGAATCTTTTCAACATTTTTTAGTCGTAAATTATTTCACTTTTCTCACTTCTGCGCTCTTTCAGAATTTTGCGTTCTCTTTTCGAAGACTAATACTTTTGAGTATGGGGTGCAAATACTACTTACAAATTCTAGTATGGATCGAACATAGATAAAATATTTTTTTAAGTATTTCAGGAGATGAGAGAAATTGCATTAAAAACTTAGTACGCTAGAAATTCCATTTTGGTATTGTTATCCCCCAAGTCTTTTTCAAATTATGCAGAGACCAAAGAACTGCCATCAATTTTGTAAAAGAGGGTCTTTACCACTCAGATGAACAAAACAGCACTTGACGGAGTTAAAATGTGTTTAGATTAGACCTCAAAGTAGCGACCACTCACAAATCTTATAAATGTTCATTTGGAGTCTATGGATTTGCGATTATTTTGGTATGATCATTGATTTCACGGTGAATTTTGCCATATATATCATTAATAAAACAAAATGAATGTAATTTGACCTAGGGATAGGGATAAAAGAGGTGGCCACAAGTGCTGCACCTCGACCTGAATATATATATATTGCGCTCTCCTGTTTTTTATAACTAACTGGCCAGCTTCAGGTTGTTAATCAACCTCCATAGCTTTGCCAACGGCTCCTTAAGTGTTGCGGTTTTACCTGTCCTAGTTGCCAGAACCTTCACAGATACACAAAACGTGTTCTGCTGTCTTCCTGGCAGTATCTGCTCAGTGTTTCTTCTGCCTGTACTCCCATTCGGTGCATATGCTTTGTTAAGTGGCAATGTCCTGTCAGCAGTCCAACCAGAATCATTGTTCGGTTGCGGTTGCCTTCCAGTAATTCCTTTGTAAGTTTTGCGGATGGCCCTTCTAATCTGGTTAATAGATAGCTCCTCACTTTTGCACCACTTGTCAACCAGATTGAGGGCTTGTTGTATACGATCCATCACGATGTCTACATGGCAGCGGCCCTTTACTACTACGGCAAGGTCGTCCGCATATCCTAGAGTAAAATCCCTCTTGTTCCAGCATTTGTAGGAGTTCGTCTATCAGCGTCGTCCACAGTAGATGTGAGAGAACTCCTACTTATGGCCCCAGGAGTGATCTTTGCGAAAACTCCGCTTTGCACTGGATATGAATTAGAATATACTTGATCAACGTCGGCGTTAAAACTCTTGTCTAAAAGAAATTTAAGAAAGCGGATTCCAAGCTCCTCCAGTTTGTAAATTAAGAGACCCTCGGAGAAATCAAGGTAGATGATATCAGTTGCAATATTTAGTTGCAAAATTTTGTGCTGAGTTTGATATTTTGCACCATGTGAAACGGAACGTAGTAAGAGAAATAATGTCAATGGCCAATGATTAGTATTAATCCATAAAAAACGTTAACCTTCTCTAAATGGAATAAGCTTTTACTTCATTCCTCAATTTACCAAATATGAAAACCATAAGAATCAATTTTATTAAAATTTATGTACATATACATGTATAAATCCTTTAACGATAGAAATGCCACTATTTGTATCAAGTTACAAATAATGTTGTATCATTTTAAATTTATTTATTTGAAGGCTCCAAAAAAAAAAATGAACAAAATAAAAATGTTAAAGCGAAATCGGTAATTACACCAGGAATGGTTTGTTAATATTTAAAACTTTCGATTAGTATTACCAACAATTACTATCCTAACAACAAAAGTTTTCAGTCGTTAAACTTACCGACAAAGGGTTATTTAGGTCGAACAGTTATTTGCTATTTTCTATGTACATAAATGACGATAGTTCGTATTTAATTTCTTGCTGGACATAGTTTCATAAGGAAAACCACATTTTCACACCGCAACCGCAGAATTGATCCCCCCTTTGGATTTAATCGGAGTTGCTTAACCCGGGGCGTTCCCCGATCATAATTTTCCTAAATTATAACCCGGCGAACTCAATTTAAGTTGGACAGGGTTCCTTTCATGTTGGCGGACGATAATTTATTCGGTAACATCGTTCTATTGCATTATAGATATGGCAATACGAAATTATAAGTTTTTATAGCCCATGCTGTGCTATTCTGTTGAGTTCGTAAATTATTAAATACCTTGAATCAATTTTTCCGGAGGTTATGTTTTTTTTTTTTTGCAACTGATCGATGTGCTTTGTACGTGTGAACGTTCCTTATATGCCTTGTGTGTTTTCAAGGTAAATAGAAATAAATTATTTTAAGACAAATGGAGAATATTTAAATCTGTTTGTAGGTATGATTCACAGTACCATTTCTTGATTTTTAGTAAACCTTTTAAGATGAGTCCAGATGATCACGTGATGATCACAAATCAAGTGAATAAGATTTACCACTGATTTATTTCTCTTGAAATGAAGTTGACGTTTTAACCTAGCTCTAGTGCCTGTTGATTGAAAAGTAAGTTTTATTCTTTAAATATCAAAATTTGGCTTCTAGTTCCTTCACGTCGTTTTTTATTTTTTCATTAATTCTGAGTCAGCAGTCCTATTAGTTTTGATAAATATTGATACGATTTATCTGTCCAAATAAGTTGCGAAGTGTTTATTTTGGTTATCAAACTTCTTTTGACTCTAAGGCTTTGTTTTTGATGCGTAATATGTGCAATATATTGTGCCCTTTGAGGGCTATTGTATCCCCCATTTTGTACCTATAGCACACGGGTGAGTCCTAGTTCATCAAGAAATTTGATTAGTAGGCCCCGTTTTAGTGGTTGATTTTCTTCTACGGTTACGTTGTAATCCGAAACACTTAATCTTGCGGGCAAATGTAGCGCCAGTTTCTTAATAGGTGCGTTGGTGTCTCCTGCTCCTTTACAAAATCTGCACGTGCCATGTTGATTATTAAAATTTTCCTGAATTGCCGATTTAATATCAGTGTCCTGTTAAGAATCCTGTTAGGATTCGAAGTTTTTCCTGCTTTCTTTAAGCATTCTGCTGTTTGTTTCTTTAAATCAGTCTCTTTCCTTGTAAGGGCGTCCGATCTCGTTGCTGTTTCTCTTACATGCCCTGAGACCCAGCAGACCGTAACTTTATTCTTTTAACTATTGGGTTGTCCGGAAAATAATGCAGGATTTTAAGTTTTCNATTTTGATTAAAGAACATTGCTTTAAAGTAACTAGTTTCTTTTTTTTTGTTTAATACCAAAATCCTGCATTATTTTCCGGACAACCCAATACAATTGTTTTGTGTAGTTTTGCAATTCAGCACCATCTTTGAGCTAATGATGTTTGAGCTTAGTGATTTCATGGCTGCTTGGTTAATTGACATAATATATGATTTTGTACTATGTTCAAATTGAACTAAGTTCATATCTCACTTACCAGAACTTCAGACTGAAAGATACTGGTGTATTTTCCATGGATTCGGAGCATTTGGTACCAGGACCGAACACACAGATAGTGACATTCTCAAAGATGGAGTCGTGTTCTCTTCTATTTCTCAATAGGAATGCGTAAACTCCAAAAATATTTATCCTCTCCATTGATTCAAATCAATGTTACTAATTTGGAAAAATGTAGTGGTTAGTTTTTTCAGCAATTTAAAAAAATATACAATTTATTCGAAATGACTTTTGTTTTTGTATCTTGAGGTTAGATCTGTGCCTTCCTGGGAAAGGCTACAAACCCGCAAGATTTTTCACAGTCCAGTGAACTTGATGTAGCTATTTTACTCTTGGTTAGTAACTATCACCTTATTGACGGTAAAACTACATTCGTAGAATTTAAAGCACAACAACGCTGATTACTTTGATAATAAATAATATTTGTCTATTTATCTCTTGATTATATGTTCTAAAATTTTTGTCAATTGTCCTCAGGGAGCAATTATACGATGCTGGGAGAAGAATTCTTGGTCAATTATGAATTTAATTTAAAATAATTTTTTATTCGTGTTTAAATTACAAAACTATCGATGATTCACAGAGCTTGATAGCTTTTTTAGTGAATGTTCAGTCTGATTTATTTTCGCCTTAGAGGATTTTTCAGAGAGTTTTTCCTTGTCACTGATCGATAGTAATGATCAAAATATCATGGGGGTGGCGAATTTACGTTCTTGGAGTGCCGGCCGAAAAGGCTTTCACCCTTATTCGTTCCTCATCCGTAAATATTCTCCCCCATTATTAGGGGGATGACGCAAATACGTTTTGAGGAAAATTCCTAATGAAGATTGAACTCTTGTTTTCCTTCGTGCCGTGGTATGATTGAATATGCATTATGCCTTTTACCCCCTCTGTTTTTTGATCAAATGAGGTGTTTTCCCATCTTGGGAAGATTGAAATGGCAGCTTTGACAATAGCATAAAATTTAGTACTTAAGACTGAAATTGAATCTTCAATTTTCTTATTTGTTTGTATGTGAAAATGTATGTGCAAAATTTTTTGAAATACAATTACAACTCATTTTCCAAAAATACTTTATGAAAAGTAAAAATTCTAGTTAACAATGCTCACTTTATTAACAAAACTTCTTTATTTTTCAGATTTTGAGCTATGCTGGAATCGCCCAATTCCTGATAAAAGCCATGTGAAATAAATGTGAGTAAAATTTTTAACTAAAGATTATTTAACCACTTAAGTGGTGTGGTACACAAAATACACACATAAAATACTGATAAGGATTGGCTTTTTTTAAATTTAAATTGTATAAAGTCCAGTCATAAACAGGTTTGATAATTTACATTTTCTGTATATCCCAAAATAAACAAAATTAACATAATGTGGTAAAAGACATTATTTTGGAAAAATTGTTAAGGTAAAACCTCAAAACCTGCGCACTAACAAGGCGTTATAGAGTATTCAGTACAGATTAGACTATCAATAAAACCAGAGCACTGTCCATAGGTGGCCCTCGGAAGATTTGATTCAAAGAACGAGGGAGGTTTTACTTTTGGGCCAAAAGCCCGCGAATGTATCCGGCATGTAAGGAAGTATATGTACGAAATGTATCATCTAATTGAGGGGTGAAATTCCTGGGCTCTATATAGAGAGCGGGTTGGTAACAATATCACCCGATCGTGCTTGAATATCTGGGTCTCCTGTTCTGTTTTTGGAGGAAAAACGGTGTTTTATTGAATACAGTACTGATAGTTTTGTGTCCCTAGCGTGTGTTGGGAGTGAATGTATTTATTTGCGTGGATGTGAAGTGTGAGAGGGTCGATGGTGGAATGTTGAAGTATATACCGACCCGTCTTAGGTTAGTTATATAACAGGTGTAAAGGGTGATGGAAGGATATCAATTACCCCACCTCCTTGGATGAATAGTATGATAATAGGAAATAATTTATGTAAGAATGAGTGTGAATGGGCCGGTGGACCGGAGAGTGATAGGCTCAACTCTTCACATGTACTATGTATGAAAATGTATGTACAGACATGTGCAGATTTGAGTTTATATAAATCCAAAAAATATAACAATAAAATAACGACATCAATAAAATAATAATAACAAAAAACAGCAATGATAGATAAAAACAGAATTAACTAATGCATAAATAAATACATAAATAAATAAACTTAAAGGAGGTTTAACTTAATGAATACAAAAGAATACATGACAATTAAGTAATTTATAGTATTTGGAATGTGACTAGTAATATGATATCACAGAAATTATGCTTGCATTGGTATGCGGCTTTAGTGATATATAGGGGTTTTGGCGTTTTCAACTGGGCAACAAGGAATTAAAAAGATAATTCATAAAAGTAAAAGCGATTTTCAACTAACGTAGGTTTATCTTCAAGTGAAAACATAAAATTGGGCACATTTGAACCGGAATCATTGTGGAAGAATCTTTTGTTCTCGGTGTTTTGCCGAATAAGAACTTCTCCCAAGTGGGATATAATATAATTTTTAAAAAATTTGAGTAGACAAAAGGGGTAACCAAAAGACAGTTTGCCTTTCAAAAATAACAAAATCACAACAAATAAAAATCACAGACGATTGTCTATAGTTTCATTTTTATGCTTTGTTGTTTATTACCTCTTAGAGGAAACGAAATTCCCCTTTACCTTGGGTAGATCCTGTGCTTTTTTTTATCATTTATAATCCAAGTTGAAACAACAGTTTTCCTTGCCCACTATTGAAAAAAAAACCTCTTTGGGTCCCAAGCTTATGAAGTTAAATAAACAGTAAAATCTTTCATTTTAAGTTCATTTTAACTCTTATTTGTACTGTGTAAAGGCAAGGAGATAAAACGAAGTATCCTCTTTATGGCCAATCTCTTTAGCTAATTTGTCCACATGAGTCTTGCGTTGATTAACTAAAAAAATTGCAAACATTATTTTCTTAAATAAATTGCTGTTGTGCTACCGGCAAAATATGATTACGACAATAATTTCAGCAAATTCTTGTCTTTTACGGCTTAAATGTCGTTTTGTATTATGTTAAATAATATATCCAGCTTTACTGAGATTATCAAAGTATTAAACGCGCAAATCTATAATGTTTGTTATTTATTGTATATTTGGACCTTGGAGGTTTATCACCGATTTGCTGTCCGTGGCGTACTCTACCTAGCCCGAGTTTACATACCCCGTTGTGCGGCTGGGTCTGGGTCATCTCAGCCCACCATATAAAAATATAATCTAGCAACAAAAACACCAACCACCTAGTTTTTACACGAAAATATGGCCAACGTTGAAAACGCATATTTTCTCAGCCTTTTAGGTCACAGACCTCCTCGAGATCATATTTCAGAAAATTTTACGCTGAACAAGATGGCTTTTTAAATGTTTTCATAGCTTCAGTCATTCACCAGTAAATTCAAAAATTCGGTAATATGTTAATTTTTGCACTTTTTACGAAAACTTAAAGTTGAGCTGTTAAACCTATAGCAATCGATAAGAAATTTTAAAAAGATTTCAATTCGTCACTTTCCACGTTGCCCGATTACTCAACCGTTTTCGAATTATTCGCAATTTTTGGGCAAAAAACGTGGGTTATGTGCTCATGGAAAACACTGCTGTACTCAAATTGTTCCATCTAGGAAATTTATGAAATCCTGTCAACCCGTCCTTCTATATTCGGAAAGTAAAGGGCAAATCGCAATGAAATGCAAAGTAGCTCAGGCTTAGTAAATCTTCCTTAGCTTCTAACCATCTACTAGAACTTATTTTTTTTTTTTAATTGTTTTTCAAACTTTACTTATTTTTACCCAACAAGATTGCATATTTCACATTAGGGTTGGGCTCTTTATACAGCATGTAGTGATGAGAGTTCGCAACCCTGGTCAGTAAATTCTTTTTAAGCAATCCTTTACTAGCTGCTATTGGGTTGTCCGGAAAATAATGCAGGATTTTGGTATTAAACAAAAAAAAAGAAACTAGTTACTTTAAAGCAATGTTCTTTAATCAAAATAATTTCCCATACTCTCAATACATTTCTCCCAACGTGTTGGTAACTTATTAATTCCGTCTGAGTAGAATTCAGAATTTTTAGAATTGATAAAGTCAATAAATGCATTTTCCAGTTCCGTTTGATTTTTGAATATTATGTGTTGTAAGTAGTGGTCCAGGTGTCTAAAAAAATGGTAGTCAGTAGGCGAGAGGTCCGGAGAGTAGGGTGGGTGAGGCAAAGTTTCATAGCCAAGCTCCAATAATTTTTGTGACGTTACACGTGACACATGTGGTCGAGCGTTGTCATGCAACAAAATGGGCCCTTTCCGATTGACCAAAGAGGGCTTCATTACTGCCAATTTCTGATGCATGGTATTAATTTGGTTACAGTATGATTCAGCATTGATGGTTTCGCCAGGATTTAAGAAGCTGTAGTGTATTAAACCAAATGAAGCCCACCATACCGTAACCATTACCTTTTTTTGATGAGTTGGGGGCTTTGGAAAATGTATTGGAGCTTCTCCTTTGTCGAGCCACTGTCCAGAACGTCTAGTGTTATCGTAGAGAATCCACTTTTCGTCACATGTAACAATTCTGGCCAGAAATGGGTCATTTTTGTTTCGACAAAGAAGTGATGCACAAACATCAAAGCGCTGATTTTTTTGGCGATCGTTTAATGAGTGTGGAACCCAATTTTCGAGTTTTTTCACTTTTCCAATCGCCTTGAGGTGGTCAGCGACGGTCGTTTTACTGACTTTGAGTTGCTCTGCACCCACCACTGATCGCAGAACATCATCATTAAGAGAGGAAGGCCTTCCACGACCTTCTTCATCTTCAAGGCTGAAATCTCCCTCCCGAAATTTTTTAAACCACCTTTGCACAGTGCACTCATTAACACAACCCTCGCCCCAGACTTGGTTAATGTTTCTAGCCGTTTGGGCTCCGCTTCGGCCGAGTTTAAACTCGTAAAAGAAAATCGTACGAAATTCTCGCTTTGACATTATAAGGATGACTGAATTATTTCCAAGTAGCGGAATGCTACAGAGGTAAACAAACAATATCATTTGGAAGAGGATTAATAAGTGTTGACATTCTACAAATGAGTAATCCTGTAAACGTAAACAGAATATTTTATATAGATTTTTTTTAATGAAAACTTAAAATCCTGCATTATTTTCCGGACAACCCGATATTATCAAAACTGACTTTGACTTATTTTGGGGTTACTAAAACCGAAACTAGAGTCAAGAATAGCACTAGCAACATAATGTTTTGGTGTAAAGTCTTCCATGCCTAAGTCTTCTTTCATACTTCGTGCGCCTTAATCAGTGGTAGCATGTAGGATGGTAAAAATTATATTCGAACCGTATATTTGAAGTGAGTTATGATAATATAAGCGAATAGTGGATGTGGCTCAGTCTCTAATAAAATACTATAGATTGGGGATGAAACAAGGAAGATTAACAGTTTACGGACAAAAACCATTGAACCCTTTCCACAGCAAATATTAACTCCCAAACTTGCGAAGCGTAGTAAATTATGGAATGTTTTCTCTTACATACAATCCTAACCGTCTTTTGTTTAACTAATCAACTACAAGTCCTGCAATTTTTATTTCTTTTACGATAAAACAAACTTTTTCTCTCGCATATATATTTATAATTATCAAGTCGCGTCATTATTAGGCCGAGTTGGTTTTGTAGAAGTTAGTTCAAATTTTGAACGAGGTTCCAGTGAAATCTTCTAAGCTGGTGCAACGTCCCTGACGTGACCAGAACTAACCAATATCTTTTATACAATAAATACGCAAAGTTCATGTATTTCATGCAAACCCTTGTAAATTTTTTCAAAATTTTAGATATCACATTCTATTATGTAGCTATTATGAAACTGATTTTCTGATCTTTTTTTAGTTCAAAACAACTATAATTCATCTTATACAACATATGATAGTCCAGTCCGTTCCATTAATATTTCACAAAAAATAAGCTTTTTATACCAAGCATGTATACTTTTATATAGAAATTTTACTATTGGATCAAATGTTTTATTTCTTATTTCAATTGTCTATGATTCCTGTCCGTCTATTCTTGCTTTTTGTGTAATCCAAGAAAAGAAGTACGCCGATAAGACTAGTGTTGATACTAGTAAAATGAGTTTTTATGTGTCCACAAATAGATCTGTTATTGCAATAGCAGTTTT